AAAAAAAAAAAAAAAAAAAAAAAAAAAAAATTATGAATCTGCATATTTATGTCCATTAATTCTTATAGAAATATCAAATTGTCTATGGTCTGACATTGTAAGAAAGTGAACAATGTCCCTCTAATCCTGACCATTTTTCAGGTGAGGTTAAGACTTCATAAACAGAATCATTGCTGAGCCCAGGGATCAGAATCAATGATACCTTCTTTGACCAGCCATTAACATATAAACCTAGGCCAGGGATATAGGTCAGTGGCATAAGCGCCTGCCTGGCAAGCGCAAGGTCCTGAGTTCCATTCCCGGTACCAAAATAAAACAAAACAAAAAAATACGCTGCATGAACATATAAACCTATATCTACCATTTAGAAACAGTCTACTACTAAAAATCTCAAAACTTATTTGAAATAACCCCATGCCCAGAATGTCTAAGACAGGTGAAGAAAACAAAATTAGTTTGGAATTCAAAAACAAATAAAAATAATCATACTAAATTGCCATACTTACTAAACCTTCACTTCAACACAAGTCATTTTTTAAGGATACACTATGAAAGGATGCTTATTTCCTTGTATAAGATGTAAATACTGGAGAAAGCTGGGTGAAGAGGACATGAGATTTCCTTCCACTGGTGCTATGGTTTTAATGGGTGCCCCCGACCAAAGTCAACCTGTTAAAATTGGGTCCCTACTGGGAGGCGGTGGCACAGTTAGGAAGTCCTTTGGCTACTGGCACCATGCCCTCAAGTAGTCGCATCCCAGCTTTTGATGTAAGTAGTTTGCTCTGCCATGTGCTACTGCCATGATACTCCACCCTTGCCAGAAGCACAGCACAAAGGGACTGCCTCATTTTGGACTGGAACCTCTAGAACTGTGAGACAAAATAAACCTTTTTTCTTCATAAGTTAACTGCCTTGGGTATTTTATTAACAGTAATGTGAATCTGTGTACTACAACTTTGCAACTTCCTATAAATCTATACTTATTTCAAGGTAAAAAGATTTTTTAAAAAAGGACTTGCAAAAATAACTGATACACATAATAATATGAATGAACCTTAAAAACTTTACGCTTCACAGGAAAAGCAAGATACAAAAGGCATGTATTATACAATCTCACGGTATAATATGTCCGGAAAATGATGCAATACAGCAAGAGAAAGCAGTCATTGCTGGTCATGAGACTAAAAGGTAGGAGTAGGAACTCACAGTAAAGGGGCACAAGGGACTGTGGGCCTGTTACTGAAGTCTAATCTAAAACCAAGTTGTGGTGACAGCTATACAGTTAAATAAATTTACTAAAACTATACAGATAAAATTAGTGAACATTATAGTAACAACATTAAAACTTCAGAAAAAAACTAATAGTGCGTCTAAGTGGTGGCTATTTGGGTATTAGCATACAATTATTTTAACATTGTATGCTTGCAAGTTATTGTGATAAAATAGAGTAAAATTAAAGTTCTCATAAACAACAGAATTTTTTAAAAAAATTCTTTCCCTGGGGCTGGGGATGTAGCTCAGCGGCACAGCGCCTGCCTGGCAAGCGCAAGGTCGTGAGTTCGACTGCCGGTACCAGGAAAAAAAGAAAAAGAAAAAAAATAATAATAAAAATTCTTTCCCTTGGCAGCTCGCAGTTCTGGAAACATTTTATAAAATTTGAACTGTCAATTTATCTCGCATACACTGTGTTGAAGCTCTTGTCTCACGACATGAATGAAGGAGCTCTGGCATTCCAACCCCATCGAAGTTACCTGAGCACTGTTCCCTAAATCCACGGCTGCTGCTGAGGGCAGCTGGGTATAGACTCAGCCACAGGACGGAAACCCAAGCACAAATACCGCCCACGCTAAATGACCCTACGGAGAACACGGAATGACCATCTCTCTATATACTATGCTGACAGTAATATCAAAGTACCCAAGAAGTAAAAACCTCAGCGTTCTCAAATAAGAATCAGAGCTTTTCAACCAAAAAATTTACCATCAGATTCTGACAAATAAAGAAATTCAAGTAGGGTTACGTACAAGTTAACATCATCTTCCACAAGCCTTTAATTAAACTCAAAACCACCAATACCCAAGTATCTAATCAGATAATCAGCAAAGAGTATTATGCTTAAGCAGAAAAACAGAAAAAAAAATAATACTTAGAGAAACCTTTTACATTTGTACTACTTTCTAAGATTCCAATATGTTTACCATTACTAAATTTATGCATATCTCAATTTCTAAGAGCAAAGTAGTTTTAATACTCCTTTAAAAACAAAGTCCTTTAAATATTCATAAATGTAATTTCCAAAGAGAAACAGATACTGTTACAAAAAGAGAGACCCTGTCTCAAAAAGATTAAAAAAATACATATATAGTATGTGCATTTTAGGACATTTATAAAAAACTAGAAATATATAAATAAAAATATGAAAGAAAATTATTTGAACTAACTAGATTATTTCTAATCTGCTGAATTTCTAATTCACAACTACCTTAATAAAGGAAGAGGATTTTACACGTGTACTATGTATTCCACTGTCCCTAGCAAGCAGGTTTAAATGATGAATAGGAATATCCAGTAGAGACCTTTTAAAAGTGGACTTATATATATTTATCTCCCTTTTAAACACTGAGATTGGGGAAAGGAAGGAGATTACAGTCTTGTGCCTATTATTATTTATTTATCCTTACGTGTTATAGTATTTACAATGATTACTAAAATATGTCAGTTACATACCGCTCACAAATAAAAAACAAGATATACACTCGTCTAAAAACTAGTCTGTTTCACCAACACTGTGATTAGATACTCATTAGAGACAAAAGTCAAAACTTTACCTTGGTACTGGCCACACCAATCTCAGGACCAGCATTAATGTGAACGCCACAGTCTGTCTCCCTTGATATAGAACTGCCAACTGTATTTGTGATTCCCACAGTTAAAGCTCCTCTCTCCTTACAGTAACGAAGACCCATCAGGGTGTCTGCTGTTTCCCCTGTGTAAAAGGTACCAACGAAGTAACATGGAGAGCAGATTCTGCACTTGCAGCTTGATGCAAAAATAACTTGTTTCACATGAAGCATAAAACATGTACTTAATATATTTACAAGACTTTTAGTAAGAGGCTTTCTAGGATCTTTTTTTGCTTTTGAAAACTTAGCTGAGAATAAAAAGTCTTCATTTTTACTAATTTTTAAAGAATGTAACACTAAAGTAAATCTGTATTTACCATCTATAATACCAATTTCTTTAAATAGCAGTTTTTACCCAAATACGTTAGAATTACTAGAACGAAAGTATTTCCTTTCCCTTCGCACCTGACTGACTGATGAAAAAGCAAACATCATCTCGAAAGACCGGCGTGTTTCTATCCAGGAAGTCACTGGCTAGTTCCACCATCACTGGCAACTCAGTCAGCTCCTCAAGAACCTGACGTGTCTGCAGAGAAAAGGCGGTACGGTCATCCAGCCTGCCTTCAGATACTCTTTCACTGGGCTTCTTGGAACTCAATCAATAGTTGTCACTTTTTCTGATCATAAAAATTATGTATAAAGTTTAAAAATCCAAATAATACATTAAAAACAATCAAAACCCCACTACCCAATGATAACAGTATTTACTGTTAACATTTTAGTAAAAGTCTCATTAGACAACTAGGAATGCATATATTCTTACAAGCAAATACACTCACATGTATTATTTTGAAAAGGGGAGAAAGCATTGCTCCTGTTGAAATTCACGCGTCACTGGGTAACTGTCTGAGGCAAGTGAGCAATGCCAAGCAAACCCCAATGCCTCTTCTTGTACAAGTAGGCATCGCCCCTAGTCTAGAACAATACAGCACTCTTCCCTCTCAGACTCTCACGAAGTCAGCTGCAAGTGGTCTATCTGTGTATATAAAGTATACAGCAGATCTTTCACATATAAATCATTCCAGCAGCCGTTAATCTCTAACTCCCTTTCTGATTTTTATCACAGTAAACATTAAAAGACATGTTTTAACCAAAGACAGTTTTATTTTTTATTTTTTGGTTTTTTTTCCAGTACCAGGAATCAAACTCATGACCTCACACTTGCCAGGCAGGTGCTGTGCCGCTGAGCTAAATCCCCAGCCCCTCCAAAGATAGTTTTACATGATACGGCACCAGAAGTACTACTGGTCTGCAGGTATCCGCCAACATCCAACATAATATAATTAAAAATTTATAAGCCACTTACTGCTACACCAGCATGGTAACTTGTTCCACAAGCAATGAGAATCAAACGTCGACACCTTTGGATCTCTTTAATGTGATCCTTCAAACCACCCAAATTCACTGAAATAAAAATTAGTGTATATAATTACTTAGCAAAGAGCCATATGAAGTAGGCAATCACTTTTTATGACTGTCTACTGCAAACGTGAGAAATAATATTGCTATTTTAAGAATTCATATTTCTTTTGGGAAGCATAGTTCTCCATAGTTATAAATTAACTGGTCATGAAGTCAGCTGCAAGTGGTCTATCTGTGTATATAAAGTTAATTGCTCCCCTCAAACTAGTCATTAACCTTAGTCATGCCACAAACACACACAATTACAGTGTTTACTATGTTCTACTTTATTTCAGTCACCTTTACTTCTGTTTATTTCAATTAAAGTTATTTTAAAAGCAAAACTATAGGGATGTGGTTATCAGTAGATGCTGAAGGCTGCAGTCTGGGAAGAGGCAGACAATAAAAGAGCAGAAGGAAATTATTCCACATCTTAGCTTCATAAAGATTGTGATTATGACTATGGTATAGAGGTTTGCCAAAACGGAATTTTGATTTGTGAGTCAATGGAACGGAACAGAGGATGCAAAAACAAATCCAGGCACGCTCAGCTACCTTTTCTTTGACAAAGGGGCCTTATTTTTGATGAATAGCCTCTTTAACACATGGTGCTGAGAAAACTGGCAATCCGCATGCCCAAGATTAAACCTAGACCTACGTCTCTCACCATGCACTAAACAAAAATAAAAATGGATCAAAGAGCTAAATATTAGAACAGAAACAATCTGCTGGAAAGCAAAATAGGCAAAACTCTTGAAGACACAGGTGTGGACAAAGACTTTCTAAACAGAACCCCGGTTGTACAAGAAATAATACCAAGAATCAACAAATGAGATCACATCAAACTTAAAAGTTTCTGCATTGCAAAGGAAACAATCAATAGAGTGAAGAGACAACCTACAGAATGGGGAAAAAATTTTGCAAAAACTTTCTCAGAAAACTAGTACCTAGAATATATAAAGAACTCAAAAAAAAAAAAAAAATAGCACCCCCTTCAAACTTAAAGACCCAATCAAAAAATGGGCAACTGAAATGAATAAACAATTCCCAGATGAGGAGATACAAACAGCCAATAAATACATGAAAAAATGTCCAACATCACTAGCTATTTGAGAAATGCAAATTAGAACAACACTGAGATTATATGTCATTCCAGCAAAAAATGGCTGTCATCAAGAAATCAACCAATAAATGCTGCAGAGGCTGTGTAGAAAAAGGAACCCTACTGCATAGTTAGTGGGAGTATGAACTGATACGATCACTATGGAAATTTGTATGGAGAGTCCTCAAAAAACTAAAATTTGAAATTCCATTTGACCAACCTATTCCTTTGCCAGGTATCTTCCCAAAAGACTTAACATCATACCAAGCCAGGCATGGTGGTGCATGCCTGCAGTCCCAGCACTCAAGAGGCTGAGGCAGGAGAATCACTTTGAGTTCGAAATGAGCCTGGCTCAAAGTGAGTTCAAGGCCAGCCTGAACTCACAGTGAAACCCTGTCTCAAAAAAAAAAAAAAAAAATCACAAACCAAAAATATCATCCCACAGTGATGTATGCATGCCCATATTTATAGCAGCACAATTCTTAATAGTTAAATTTTGGAAGCATCCTATACGTCCATCAACAGATGAATGGATAAAAAAATATGTATTTATACACAATGGAGTACTACTCCATTATAAAGAAGGATAAACTTGAGTCATGTGTACAAAAATGGATGCACCCGAGACCATAATGTCAAGTGAAATAAATGAGACGCACAAGCTTAAAGATCATATGATTTTTCTAGTATAAGAACCGATATAAATAAAGTATAAAACAGGAAACAGACAATTGGAAAAAAAGAGAAAAAGGTTACAGTAATCCAGCATGGGTGACCTATCTAAAGGTATGCCGTGATTTAGTATAATTGTCTGACGTGTTTTACACATTTTTGGCGCATTATTTTGGCTGCTAATCTGTGCGCATAATAATTAACTTGAAAAGAATTTGTAAAATAAATACATGAATCTGATGCTAATAAAACAAATTTAAAGTGGGAGGGGAGAGTAAGGGGAAGGAAAAATACTGAGATGTGTATGTGTATATACCAATTCCCTACAACGAATGTAATCCCTATGTACTACAAACATGTACTAATAAAAATTTTAAAATTCTTTAAAACTCAGAATGTTATCCAGAGGCTGAAGCGGGTGGATCATTTGAGCCCCATAGTTCAAAGCCAGCCTGAGCAACATAGCAAAGATCTCATATTAAAAAAAAACTCAGAATTTTACATAAAAGAAATAAATTTTATTACGTCTAATTAATTCATAAACCTGTCTGGAGGAAAAAAAACTATCTTAGTGTCACGTTTCTTCCCCCTTCACACGGGGTGTCCCGAGCAGTGTTCTGCACGCAGTGTAAAGCCACTCTCCTCCCAGCCTGCGCCATCTCAGTAAATGCTGTCGCCACTCACCTAACTGCTCCGGTCAGAAGTCGGCAGCACCCTGCCCTGCGCTTAGCCCTCCTCACATCTACCTTTAAGACCCCCCTCGGGGCTGGGGATTTAGCTCGGCGGCAAAGTGCCTGCCTGGCAAGTGCAAGGTCATGAGTTCGGTTCCCGGTACCGGAGAAAAACCAAAAAAAAAAAAAGACCCCCCTGTACTGTACCCGCGTCCCTCCCATAGAGACAGCAGCATCGTCCGGACTCCTCGCACTCCTGACCTCCTAGAGCAGCGGCGGTGAACCCATGGCGTGCGAGCCACAGCAGGCACCCAGAGCCCCGCCTGCCAGCATGCCAACCGAGGGGCTCTAGCATCGCCCCCGCCGCTGAGCATCGGGTAACAGTTGTTTCACCTAAACTCAAACCTCAGGGCTCCGGTTTATTGCAGTGCTGGCCCTTCACAATAAATAAATGGCTTCTGGGTTGCAGTTTGGATATTCAGTCTCTAAAAGGTTCACAATCACTGTCCCAGAGCCTCCTCTCCACACACAGGCACAGTGGTCTTTAAAAGTGATCCTTGAAAAACATAAATCGCACCTTGAAATCCTCCAGTGGAGTCTGTCATCTTTTTTTTTCCTGTCTCTAGTTATTTACATGTTTTTCTACCTGTGTTATCTATGGAACCTTTTATCCTGACTAGGTTTCTACCTGCTCGACAGTCTCATTCAATATTCATTCCCTCATGCATTAGCATTGCTTGAGCACCCAGTAGATGAAAGTCCCAGTCAGGACCCTGAGTAGCCACCAGGGCTCCAGTGGAGGCCCTGACTGCGGAGACAGAAATGTACACCCTTGTCTACAGCCACAACACCCTGAACACACCCGAACTCATGCGATCTCGGGCGATCTCGGAAGCTGAGCAGGGTCGGGCCCGGTTAGTACCCGGATGGGAGAAACATACATCCTGTGGGCGTGGTCCTCCTGCAGGCCCTTGTCCTCCATCAGTCTACTCTCATCTCCCCATCCCTTTTCCTACTTTAGTTATACTACAAAGCCAAGGCATGCTTTATGTTCTATCTGCTTGAGTGGTCTTATATTTTCATTTTAAAATTTTAATAGTAGGGGGTATTCTACTTTTAAATCAGAAAAATAGAGAGAACAAAACAATAAAAAGTATCCGGCATTGGCTTCTCAAATGACTTAGAATCTAATCCAAACTCCTTTTTATGTCTTTCAAGTCCTCGGTGACCCGTTGCTTGCTTCACTCCGACCTAATCTCATAGTGCTTCCCCTCACTCTGGCCGCACCACCCAGACCAGCTCTCTTGCTGTGCCTGTACTCGAATGCCCACTGGCAAAACTCTACCCACAGACCGTGGCATGCACTACAAAGGTTTGTTTGGGAAGAAAGGAAACAGCAGGCCAAGGATGAATCGGGGTCATATTCAATGTAAAAGCAGACAGTAACAGAGTCACTTGTACTGCAGAAGAATGACAGGGAGGTTAAGAGGATGAAATGAACTAGTCACTGTGTTTCCCCAAAATTAGTCCTAGCAAACTCCCTGGTATCTGAGGGAGATTAGGGTAGGTAGATCTAGAAGAAGCCACCCAAGGTCAGAATTGATAATGCCTTTGAGAGGAGCCCTATTCTGCTAATGTGTAGGCCATAACTACGGGAACCACAAGAATGCCCAGCAGACAGGGGAGAGAGCACTTGGGAGCACCACTGAACACCTGGAGGCTGCATGTCCCACTCCATGGAGGATGAACTAGGTAAGACATTCACACTGCAGAGCTGTGACTTCATCTTACAAACGAAAAAAGTAACAGCTATCCTGTTTATATTATGGAACTTTTATACACATAATTAGAGACAAAAAAGCTTTTTAAAACCATGAACTTCTCAGGGCTGACGGTATAGCTCGTGTGCAAGGTTCCAAGTCTGATTCCCAGTATGTGAGCAGAAGAGAAGGAAAAATGACACTGTGAACTTCTCAATGCCTGTCTCATTCTCTTCCCTTACAAAACAATTATCTTCTTGACCGTATTTCCACAAACACTCTAAATGGTATTTCTGCTACTCTCTAGTTCTTTCAGCCAGTCATCTTCAATAACCCCCTGCCCTACGTAGGAGATGTAAATCCTGGTTTGTGCTGTTCCTGTTTCTCTCCTGGTGCCCCTCCCTTTCCCCTCCCCTTTACTCTCTACCTTTTGTCCTTTCACTTACCCTAGTCAGGACAACATCCAATGTAACAGCTGAGGCTCAGCCTCTCACTCCTGCAGGGCACACAGGAGACTGGTACCCTGGCGCATACGTCTTTGACAGCATTACAGTTTCTATAAAAGGAGGTACCTGCTACCCAGCCCCCACAACAGAATGTATTCAAGCCCCCCATGATAGTTCCTCTTGCTCCTTTCCTCAACATTTCTCTATACTGTTCTGCGCGCATTAGATATGATAGACAACACAGACTACGAATGATTCCTCACATAGCGTCCAAATAATTTCCCACTAGCTCATCTTAGCTAATGCTCTTCTCCACAACTGAATGTTCCTGTCTGATTCACCTATTTAAACCTTCCAAATCCTTCAAAACCCATACCTTCCTGCTTCATGAGGTCTTCTCTGATGTGAAAGCCCCTTTCACAAGCAGACTTATTTTCTGTTTTCCCAAAATTCAACATTAAACTTTTGGTATTTCAACATTTAAATGCATTTCTAATGCTATATTATCATATTTTACCTTTGTTAAGCAATTTATTATGTATTCACCACCCCCTTCTACTTATTAGAACTTTAAGGGTAAAACTATCCCAGGTATCAGTTTTTCATGGTACACTCCTGCCTATGAGATGATTTTGAAACCAACAGTTCACAGCCATTAGATGTTCATAAACTCCTAGGACACATGGTTTGGAGAGAATTTCCACGAACAAGACTAGTGTTGCACTCTGAGCTCCACCTTACCATGTAGGAGGGTAAAGGTTATCCCACACGGCATCAGAATGACTTAAAAGACTTCTGCAAAAGTGTATACCTCCACTTATTTATAACCTGAGAGAGAAAAACCTAGCCTGATACATGTAAGTTTTCTAGCAAGCAGACCAGGTTTTGCTCAGCTAAACAATAACTCCCTTTTTCCCCCACCCCTGGACACCTGGTAACCATTAATCTACTTTCTGTCTCCATGCATCTGGTTATTCTAGATACCTCATATAAGCAGAATGATACACTACTGAAGGACTAGCCTCCACTGACAGCTGGCACTCATAGTTACTCTACAAGGCTACAGGGGACACTGAACTTTCAGGCTGCTAATGGCAGCCTCCCAAAGAGACTTCAAAATAATACAATAATTCCTACGTCTCACCAGTGTAGTCATCAAAGTTGACTCTTCCTCTCATTGTGTTCACGACAGACTCTGGCTGCTCAAAAATTTCCTTCTGCATAAATGAACTGAAGTTGCCTACAGTAACAGAGATTAGATCATTAAAACAAAAATTAATAAAGCCAAGAATAAGAAATGTGTATGTAACTAAAAGTCTATCTCCTTTAGCTTGATAAATGAAACAAAATGCCACACACCAGACAATAATATTCATATACCATGTAACTTTCTGAAGAACTGAAGGAATATATTTTACTCTATGTGAAGAAAAATAAGTATGGAGGAAAAGTCATCATCATTTACTTCACATCTAAAATGGAGAGTTATAACCAGGAGAATGGCAAGCTTAATTTTTGGAGTCAGATCTAGGCTTAAATCATGGTGTATCCTTTACTATCTCAATTAGGGAAATTTCTTAGTCTGTAAAATAACAACTGCAGTTATTTCATAGTGTGGACTGTAACGTGGGCTAATATAGCAAGAAACCCGACATACAGCCATTACACAGTAAGCATGAGTTTTTATTCCCACCACAACCTAATCAGAAAGGATAAAAATCAAAATCAAGACAATCACAATGCTTAACAGCACCAAACATGGCAGCAAGTGTGCCAGACACTGTTTAATTGACTTTGCCTCGTTAACCCCTCTTCATCACATATCCTTAATTAAGCAGGTTCTACTGTTCAAGTCTAAAAATAAGAAAACTAAAGTACAGAGAATATAAGAAAAATAAGTAACAAAACATAAACTATATGTATACTTTAAAATATCAGGTACCATTAAAATAATCTCTTTTTTATAATGTTAAAAATAGAAAGCCATGAACTACTTTAAGCCAGGCATGGTGGCACATGCCTATAATCCCAGCACTCAGGGGGCTGAGGCAGGAGGATTGCCTCAAGTTTGAAGAGAGCCTGGACTCCACAGTGAATTCAAGGCCAGTCTGAACTACACAGAAGACCCTGTCTCAAAAACACGAAAACAAACAACAAAAAAAAACTACTGTAAGACCAGCACGTAATTTTTCTGAAAAGTCATCCATTTTCCGGGGTTGCCTCTTCACTAATCATGTATACGATTCCACTCAACAGTATTATGAGATTCACCAGTGGACAGACAGTAGAATGCCTCCTTTCTTTAAGGACACCAAGCTATAACACGAAAAAACTTTCACCCTTCATGATTTGTTCGAGTTCCATCTGGAGGGTTTGGACAGCTCTTCCAGGATGATCTCGCGCAGTTCGTTTAATTCGATGGATAGAAAGACGGCCATCTACCACCGCTGCGACATCATCATCTTCTAGAAAGATGACACGGTTGGTGTGTTCTATGACAGCACTATGAAACATTCAAGGAGATGTTACAGTCAACCAAGGGTCAGGATTACCCGAGAAACTGTCTGCAGGACACAAGGACTAAATTTAAACACGAATGCTATAATCTTGCAGTACTTCCATAAACTATCAACGCCATCACCTACAGGGCAGTGAGGGAGGGGGTTATTGCAGACCAAAAAATAAGAGGGTTTCTGCATAACAACTTAACTAGATTGGATTAGATCAAAAGGCCTAGCTATTTCGTTTTCTCTACCCATCACTAAATCCTGCAATTTTATCCCCTAAACATTTCTCAAAGCATCCTGCTATGTCCATCACCACAAACCAGTACAAACTGCTGTCAGTGCCATGGCTGACTACTATAGTATTTTCCTAATCCCTCCAAGTTCTCTTTTATCTCCATCCAGCCATTCTGTTTTATGCCAAAATTGGTATCAAAAAGTAACTCTAATCAAGCTTTCTCTCTTACTCAAGGAACCCTTAATGGCTTCTGTTTGGCCTTTAAGGAACACAGCAAAATACACTATCCTGACTCCTACACCCCCTTCCTCAGCCTCATCTCCCACCAAACTCCCTCTCACTCTCCACGCCCACCACCTGTCCTTCTCTCCTGAACTCTCACACCACAAGCCATCTGCAGAAAACCAGTGTTTCCCTCTCTACTTCTTCACCCAACTAACTCCTCAGCTCCTCTTGTTTCTCACTGCAAGCTTTACACGCTTTAAGAAACCTACCCACAGGGGATAAATCACCCTGTCCTAGTTCTTATTACAATGGAAATTTTTTATTAGTGAGATTATTGTTTAAAAATTGTTCTTCCATTATGAAAGCGGGGCAAGCAGTATTTTTATTTCTCATTCACTATGAGCTCCTGAGACTTGTACATGGCTTTGCTCATGGTGTTCAATATGAACGCAAGAATGAATGAAAAAGATGGTCATGTCTGTAATGTCCAGTTTGAAATATAACTGTTAACTCTGTAACAAAGCCACTTAATGACAGCAATGACATATCTAGAAAATTAGAAAACAATGAAGCTTGTTTTCCCACTGAGATAATCTATTCCCTTAAGTCCCAAATGATACCATTTTCTAACTTTTATTATTTCCTTTTATTTCAGCCATAGTGAATGACTCAAACACCTCCTGGCAATTTGCCTGACTGTTTTATCCTCACTGCTACAGTTCATATAATCTCTTAGTCTAGTACTATTTCTTTATTGAAGTGATTATGCTATAAATTGACTCTAAATGTAAAAGATAAGCGGCCATGTTAGAATAAAAGTAAAACGGCTGAGCTAGTACACTATAATTGGTCTGATACCAACTAAGCTATTCTATTCTCTAATCTAGCTCAGTGTTAAGAGTGTTTTCCTTGCAATGCACAATGCCCTGGGTTAAATGCCAAACTACAAATAATAACAGTAATAATAATGAATTAATTAAAATTTCTCCTCTCTACAAAATCTGGGTAAGCCAAAGAAGGAAAA